GCGGAAGTCTCGAGAGAAAGAGATATTTTTCTTCCCAAAAATAAATTTTTTTATTTTTATTTTTAATCTCGCGAACCTCCAAAAACGCGACACCTGTCCCATTCGCTCCGATTCAAAAGTTTCGTTAAACGAAACGATCCGACTAATTTTCAGCCTAAATTCATTTTTTATTAGTATTTTGGGCCAAGTAATCCATCAAAACTTATGAATAAACATGCTCTAAGTTGCAACTGATGACATTGCTTGATTGTTATCTCTACAACAGAAGAATTTTTCCAAAGAAAAAGGATTGTCTTTAAATGCGACTATAATTATTTTAAACGATTAAAAATTTATTTAAAATATAACTTTCAATATGATTATATAAGCTAGCGCATATTGAAACTGATGATTGATTGGAAAGACATACCTTGATTGAGGATTTGGATAATGCATTATAGATATGATTGATAAGAGTCAATGTTTTATGGTAATTTAGCAAAAAAAAATGTTTTATGGTACAATGCTTTTTGCATGGATTTATAAAACTTTAATATATTTATAATAGTGCTACAAGATGTTCATGAATGATGATTGGTTTGTATTGTTTTTTTTTTGATAACTCATGGTAAATCCTAAGTTAAAGAGCTCAGATTAATCTCTGGACGAGGTGAGCCCATGGATAAACCTTCTCTCCGGATATGCAAATGGGCCGAAAACAAAGGTTCAATGTGAGTGTCCAGGATAATGTGAGTTAGTTTCACGTAGGAGGTAGATCGAACCTATAATGTGTTGACATCTCAGTCCCGTCTCCTTACCACTTGATTACAGTGTCGTGGACAATTGGTTTGTATTATTATGTACTCCATTTACTTATCATATTTTTTTTAATGAATCTTGGTAATATAATCTGACAAATTGTTTTCCTTTTTAATTCATCACCATTCACCAAGGCGGAAGAATTAGTCTAAATATAGCATAGAATTTTAAAGAAATTTAAATTGATTTTTGAGGTTATAAATTATGGATTTTATCAAAACAAAAGTTCTAGATTAGGGTATGTTATTGTTTTGGGGGGAATTATATAATTTAGTCAACATATATTTTCTATCAGTGTAATTTCTACTAATGTATTCGTTTATTGTTTTTAGGAAGGTTGATGATCTACCTTTTGGTTAATTATCATATATAAAGAAAAGAAAATAGGGGGAATTACAAACATGTCATTTTTGATGTTTACATTTACAAGAATGACACTTAAGAGTGTTTATTTGCAAAAATACCACTAATTAAAAAATTTTGAAGCCTAAATCTTAAAATTATAAAAAATGTTTTGACCTCTAAAACTCCTTAAACCCTCAAAACTAAACCCTAATACAATATAGTTAACCCAAACATAAATGATAAAATGAATTTTTTTTGAAAAAGTGACATTTTTGTAAAGATTTTGAAAATGTGGTATTTTTGAAAAGTTGCACTTGAAAAGTGGTATTTTAAAAAATTTCTCAAGAAAAAATAATATAGATATATAGAAGTATAAAAAGAGTTTTCTTTTTTTATAAAAGTATAAAAGAGTATAAAATTATAAAAAGAGTTTTTTTATAAAATTATAAATTTTTGAAAGAAAGAAATTTAATAGCACATTGACTAATTCAATTTTTTTTACAATCCATTAAAAGAAAAAAAAACCATGTTTGACTTATAAAAGCGACGAATTTTGACTTATTAAATGCCAATTAGAAAATCAACAAAATTTAAGCATAAATTAATAAAGGCTATCTTTACCAACAAAAACAAAGTTATGGTCAACATTTTCAAATTGTTGCTTAGATTGCTTTGGTTTTTTCTTTTTTACGGATTTTAAAGTCATAGTATTCTTAAATCCGTTTTCTTATATACTTTACTTTATATATCCATAATTGTTGAGTGGAAAATATATTTTGTAACGTCCGTGAACCAAAAAGTAAATTTTTGATGGTGTGTCGATCGACACACGTGTTTGGATATATGAGAAGTCGTGTTCTGGGCGTT